AAGTCCTGCTGGTCGTGGTTGGTGTCAGGGTGGCCGAGGTCCTCCAAACGGCGCAGCGCCAGGTTGTTGCCGGCCTGCGCGTGGCGCTCGCGAAACTCCAGGCGCGCTTGCGTGTCGAGGCGGGCCAGGACGGCCCTCTGGAGGTGAACGCGGCCGCGGGAGGCAGCGGCCGGATGCTCGTCGTCTTCGTCCTCGTCGAAGGGCACGATGTCGCTGCCCATGCGCTGGGGCCGGCCGTTCCGTCTGGGGGCGCCGTCGTTTGCGGGCGCACCAGCGTCGAAGAGGCCCGCCCAACGTTCCTCGCACTGGCCGGCCTCGTCTGCGAAGAAGTCCAGGAGCTGCCTTCTGGGGGTCGGAGGGGAGGAGCACCGCCAGCGTGACCGCGGCGTCCTCCGCGCGCCGGTCGTAGGCCTCCATGACAGCGGCTGCGGTGCACTGGCCTGCCAAGGCGAGGTGTTCGGCCATCTCCCGGACGTGCGGGCGGGAGCTCACGCGGCTGGCGAGGAAAGCGGCAATGAACACGCGCTCCGCGGTGCGTAGGCCGAGGCCGCCCCAGGAAACCCCAGTGGCTCCCAAGCGTCGTCTGGCAGGTCGCCGCCAACGATGTTCTACACTGCGGTGCGCAGATCTCTGTCGAAGGTGGCGAGCCGGTCGTGGCCGATCCTGTCCCCGTTGAGGCGCAGCTGGTAGGAAAGCTTCGACACGTCGGCGCACAAGCGGGTCAGGACGAGCTCGGTGGGGGCGTGGTGGGCGGCGAGTAGCGCGAGGCGGGCGGCCCGGGCCGTCTCCACAACCGCTTTGACCTCGTCGTCCAGCGCCTCCGCACTGCCAAAAAGGGGGCGCCCAGGGCGTGCGTGGGGGCCTGTGGGGCGAGGACTTTGCAGGTGGCGCGCACGTAGTCGGTGTCCCAGCCGTCGTGGAGGTGGCGCTGCTCTGGCGGGCACAGCAGTCGGCAGGAGCTTTTGGCCGTGCCCTCGGCGACAGAGCCGCGGGTGCCGCCGAAGCGAGCCAGGCTGGCGTCCAGTGCCTTGAGCCAGTGGTCAAGGTCTGCCAGATCGGATTCCATTTGAAACGGGACATATCCCATATCCCAAATATGTTAATCACCTGGATTCGAATCGGGTTTCAACTGAAGCGGAAACGGACCAAACGGAGCAGATCCCAGCCAAGAGCGCCATCTTTCAGAACACATCGTCGTCATTATCCTTCGATTGATTCACATCTTGTTTCTTACCTCCTCGCTCTCCTCCTCCTCCTCCTCCTCCTCCTCCTGTTCCTCCGCATTTGCCTTCCCGTCCCCAACATGACCTTTCCTCCTCCGTCTCCGTCCCCGCCGTTTCCCTCCTCTGCTCCTCCTCCTGCTTCTCATGCTCCTGCTCCTGCTGCAGCTGTTGCTCCTTCGTGTGGTGAAGAAGAGTAGCATAAAAAAGAGGAGGGGTGGGGATCCCAATTTAATCCATATGGGATTCTGTTACGATTTCGATAGAAACGGAACGGATCCCATATTCAGAGGAACCTTATTGAATTTGAATCGTGTGCTGATGCGGTGCAAATGGGACCTGGAAGCGATCCCAGGTCCAGATGACTCCTATGTAACTGGGACGGGACTCCAAGTGGACTTTAATGAACACGGAACAGATCCCATATCAAAATGGCCCCCATAAACTACGACTCGGGTTCTCAAAGGACTTCGTAAGGAGCGGGGCAGATTCCAGATGCAGAGGGTTCGGAGTGGATTTGAGTAACGTTCTGATCGGGCTTGAACAGAAAAGGAGCAGATCACAGACTCGTGGAATTCTTCATGCATTTGAATAAGTACCCGATCGGATCCCAATGCGAAGACAGCAGGTCCCAGATCCAGAGTATTCATGCCGAATTTGGATCCGCGTCCCCACAGTCATTAAATAGAAACCGAGCAGATTTCAGATACTGGGCGACGAAGTGGAGGAGGAGCATGAGGAGGAGAGCAGGACCGTGGCAAGGACAGGCAGGGCGGAGAGAGGAGAAGGAGGAGCGGCGTAGGCCTCTCAGGCCTGTGTCACTCCTCCTTCCCCTCTCTTCGCCTGAATGGCCTCCGGACAGCTCGCTCGAAGGAAGCCCTCGCCTGAGATGTCCTCAGCAAAATCACCCAAAACGATGCTGCCGCCTGAGAGGTCCCCAAGGAAACCAAAACCAACAAAAACAAGAGCCACCCGTTTCATCCCTGCAACCGTCCAAAAACAAACCGGAAAACAAAACCAAGCTCCTGAAGAGAACTCCTCCTGATCTTCCAGGTAGCGCGTAAACCGAGGAGGAGGAAGAGGGGGGATGAGGAGGCACTCTCCTCTGGAACCTGGTGTTTTTTCAAAAGGGGTGGTGGTGGGGGTGGGGGGGGGCAGCTGCGGGGCTGAGAGGGGGCCCTCTTGTTTGCTATTCGTTGTGGGGGGGGGGAACTATCAGACGGGAGCACCGGCTTGAGCGTGTTCTGTCTGTGGCCTCTCGGGCGGGAGCTTCCCCTCGAGCGAGCTGTTCGAGGCGCCTCTCGGGCGGAAGCCTTTACATCAGTGATCCCAGTGCGTCTGAGGCCGCGGCGCCGGCGGCTCTCCTCTGAACTCCAGCGGCTTCGAAAACTGTTCGTGACAGTTGTAAGGATGAGTTCGGCGGTGGACACACCTCCCTTTTAGTAAACCACCCTCTAGTGAAAACGGCCTAGGACCGAAACCGACGGACCTGGACCCGCCAAAATGACGGCCGCGACGCCCTCTCGCGAACCGAAAACGGCCAGTTCGCTAATCGACGTGTCATGGTAGGAGGTCTATCAACCTCCGAATGGAAATGGGGTGCTCTTCTTTTGGGGGGTGCTTTTTTGTTCGGGGACCTGCCAGGCGGGAGCATGGATTTGAGGGTTTGCTTGGGGACTTCTCAGGCGTGAGCTTCCTTTTGAGTGGGTTCTTTGGGGGCCTCTCAGGCGGGAGCATCGTTTCGAATGTTTTTTTGGGGGCCTCTTGGGCGGGAGCTACCGTTTAAGTGATTGTGTTGGGCCCCCCCCAGGCGGGAACAACACAACACAACACAACACAACACAACACAACACAACACAACACAACACAACACAACACAACACAACACAACATCACATAACAACACATCGCGCGCACTCGAACAACGCAGCATGATACAACACATGGGGAACAATCGCCCAGAACGCCCAGAATCCGAGACTCTTCCAGAGGCCCCCAACAAGCCCCAATAAGCCTCCGAGTGCCCCCCCTGAGCCACCTGAATGATGGACCTCCGTAACACAATAAGGACGGATACATATCCACAAGGAATCTAGAAAGCGAGGGCGAAGACACGGACAGAGGACAAAGGGATAACGTATGACAAATATTCACACGGCGAAACGGTGCCACTACCATAGTCTATCACTCTATCTCGTTGTTGTTTCTCTCTCTCTCTCTCACACTTACACTCTCTCATTCCACCAACGCTAGACCTGAATGATAGAAGTGCACGGCGCGAAGCTCCAATGCAACCTTGTATACGTACACGCATGCATCGGTGTACATGTATATGGGTATTTCTTTGCACATTATATATGTGTATATATATATATATATATAGATGTGCACGGCAACGAAGGATGGGGGAGACGGAACCACATGAGGGAGGCAGCGGGAGGGAGGCGTGAAGGAGAAATGAAGAGGAGGGAGGAGGGAAACGGGCGCAACGGGGAGCAGGGAGGGAGAGAGGAAGAAAAGGATATGAAACGGGGCACGCATAATAACCAAAGCAGGAGCAATATCAAGGATAATGAAGAGCGACGGATGAGGGATATGGAAACACATGAGGGAGGTGGAGAGAGGAAGGCGTTAATGAGAGACGAGGCGGAGAGAAGAGGGATAATGACGCAGCGGGGAGGAGGGAGGAGAGGGAGGGGGAAGATGTGGAACGGGAGACGGGGGAGAACCAAAAACAGAAGAGAGATCAAAGAGAACGGACAACGAGCGATGAGGAATACGGAAACGCACTCGGGGGCGCGCCAAAGCCTGGGACAGGAGGAAAAGGAGGGGGGTCGACTTTGAAAGAAAGGAATTGAGGAAATCCATGTTTTTTCAAGCTGGGCCTCCTAACTTTAGGAGGGCAGGATGATGGGTGAGGGGGGCGGAGGAAGGAAGGACTGAAGGAGAGATAAAGATGAGGAATGGAGGAGACGGAAACGCATGAGGGAGTCGGAGAGAGGAAGGCGTGAAGGAGAGACGAGGAAGGATGAGGAAAAACAACACACCGGGGAAGAGTGAGGAGGAGAGGAAGGAGAAGGATGCTGACCGGGAGGAGTACGAGAACCGAGAGCAAGAGAGATCAGGGAGAACGGATAGCGAGGGATAGGGAAGACGGAAACGCACTCTGAGGCACGCCAAAGCCTGGGACAAGAGAAACGGGGGGGGGGAGGGTCAACCTTGAAAGAAACAAGGGCTTCAGGGAATTCATTTGTTTCAGGCTGGGCCTCCTAATTACGACTTAGTGGGGCAGGATGCTGGGAAAGGGAGGCGGAGGGAGGAAGGAGTGAAGGAGTGAAGGAGAGATGATAATGATGGAGGGGGGAGGACTCAGCGGAGAAGAGGAAGGAGGATAGCGATCGAGTGGGATCAGGGAGAAAGGAGGGAGGAGGAGAGAGGAACCGCCTCCGCGGTGTTTGCCGCCAACTGGGATGTCTCGGCGCAGTCTCCCCACGGCGTCTTTGGGGTGTCTTGAGAACCTTCCTGGAGCATGTTGGTGAAAGTCTTCCCAGAGCCGTCGGGGGGCCGTCTTGGACAGCCTTGGGGTAATCTTGGGCTGTCTTGGGGACGTCCTGGGCCGTCTTGAAGCCCTCTGGGGGCTCTTGGACGCCCCAAAGGTGGTACCGGGGATGTGCCGCAGCTGCAGTGCCGCAGCTGCTTACGAGGTGCGCAGACTGATATCTATATATCTATATACAAATACATAACAAAAAAACATGTTCCTCCTCTGATGTCCAGGGCGTCGAGGGGTGCGCCCTGCAGGAGCAGCCGGCGCACGTCCTCGGCCAAGCCCTCGCTGCACGCCTTGCGGAGCTCCTTCACGAGATCCCCGCTCCGCCGGACTCGGCCACTTGCGGGAGCCGCGCTCGGCATCTGGCTCAGGGCCCTGGGGAGGGGGGGGGGCCAAAAGGTACTGATACCGCCATCCCCTGGACGTCTCCAGGGGTGCGCTCTGGCCATCATCCCGCCACCCTTCAGGGCGTGGGTGGTTCAAGGAGCTTCCTCTTCCGACCCCCCCCATTCCCCCCCCCCCCCCCCCCCTCCCTGGGTCTCGAGGGGGGAGGCGGCGAGCGGTCAGAGCACCCAATATGATCGAATATGACTCTAAGAGGGCCCAATGATGCCCAAGACGGCCTCCAAGATGGCTCAGGATAGCGCGAAATCCCCCAAGATGGTTCCCGACATGCTCACACCGCATAGCTTACGTCACAGAGTTTACACAACATGACTTGCAACACATGGCTTGATTACACGGCATGGCTCACACCACACAGCTTACACCACGTAGCTGGTACCAGAAAAACGTACCCAGATACGAAAATATTGCACCGCATTGTTCACACAGCGTACACAACACAGCTTGCACCACATATTTAGCTGCCACTGCACATCTCGCATCTCACACCGCATACCTTTTCACTGCTTCAGTGCAAGAACTCATGATTCAGAATCCAAGCTGGGCATCATGTTGTTCACAGGTGTTTGCATCTCGGGGCATCCTTAGGGGGCTTCTGACCCTGGCTCCAAGATGACCTCAAATATTCCAGAATGGCCTCCAAGATTGCTCGAGAGATCTCCAGGTGGCTCAAGATGGCCACTAGCATGCCTCCAAGATTTCCCAAGACCGCTCTCACTCAGATTCCCAAGAATGCCCCCAAGAGGCCAACATCTCTCCAACAGCTCAAGAGCATCAGTGATGTTTGCGCGTTCGTCTTTCTCGCCTCTGTTGGGCTCTTGAAGCCTCAAGCTGGCTCTTGGCCCCAAGAGGGGCGGAAGAAGGCTCCACGATGGCCCCTAGAGCCTAGAGCAAGAGCGCCCTGGGGCGCCCCAAGAGAGCCCCAAGAGAGCCCCAAGCTGCGACCTCCGGGGCTCAGGAGTGTCAGGCGAAAATTGAAGGCTTCCCGAGGTGTCGCCACGCTCCCTCTCTCGATGGGCGCCCCCTGGCCGCCCGTGCGCGCCTCGTGGCCTCGACACCACACAGCTCACACCGCGCATCTCACGCCGCGCATCCCGCGCAGCATCGCGTACGCCACATAGCTGACACAGCTTACCTGACACAACCTAGCTAACACCACAGAGCTGACGCAACACAACGTGTACCACATATCTTGCACACCGTGTAGACATGCCTCACTCCACATACTCACACCGCATTGCTCACACCAGATGATTTACAGCGCATAGCTTCACAACGCAGCTTGCACCACGATGGCATATCTCACACCGCATTGCTCATACCATTTCGCTCGCACCGAGTAGCTTACACAACATAGCTTATACCACATAGTTCTCACTGCGCAGCTCACACCTCGCACCGCATATCTTTTCACACCCGCAATGCAAGAACGCACTATTTGGAATCCACGCTGGGCACCACGTGTTGTTCAAAGGTTATGGCATCTCAGGGGCTGGCTACAAAATGGCCTCAAAGAGCCCAGGCTGGTCTCCTTGATTGCTCGAAATACCTCTAAACCGCTCAAGATGGCAACCAATATGCCTCCAAGAGGCCCCAAGAACACTCCAAGACGGGTCCGAGTGGCCACGGAACTCCCCAAGAATGCCCCCAAGAGGCCAGCATCCTTCCACAATCACATCAAACCACCTAATCGTGCCTTCTCGCCTTTTCGCGCCCGATGGGTTTTGAACACCTCAAGACGGCTCAGCTATGTCCCGAGAGAGCCCAAGAGATGCCCACTATCGGGTCGGGCGAAAGGGGGGGATAGCAAAGGGGGGGGTTGAGACAGCTCACGTAGCTGATTTTCCCGGCGCCTCCTGGCGCCGGAGGCGGCTATCTGTCGAGGAATGGGCCCCTCGGTGGGGAGGAAACCAGCGGCATGCAGCAAATTTCGTACCCCCCCCTTTCCCAAACCCCCCCTTTCGTCCGGCCCGACACTATAGCCTCAAACGGCCCCAAGACAGCCCCCAAAGAGCTCCAGAGCACGCCGGCCAAAGAGGGCTCCAATGGACGATTTTGTGGAGCTCAGGAGGGAAGAACGAGCGAACGAACGCCGGAGTCGTGCGCGCTCCGCGAGGGAGCCCGCGCGTGTCCATCAGGGCATGGCGTGGAGGCCGTGGCCTCAACAGTGTGACACGCAAGGAGGTTCGTGTGAAAACCACCACTCACTGCCCCTTGCTGCCGATAACTATCGCAAGTCGTTTGCTGTTTTGCTCGTGCAGTCTCGGCACGGTCGCTGCCCAAATCTGGTCCCACTCGGCGTCAGCGTCGCAGCGTTGCCCGCCCAAACTGTGTAAGTATCCCTTGATGCCGTCTTCCCGTCTCTTTTGTTGCCTTCCGTGTTGCCTGCGTCCTCGCTGTCGAATATTGAGATTTGGGTTCTAATTCAGCACTCTTTGCGTCCAACTCAAGAGGGAGGGGTATGCAATCGTAATGAAGGGGTCCCCCTCTTCGATTGAGATCTTCATAGACGGCCGCAAGAGGACCCACAGGGCCCTGGGGCCTCCAAGAGGGCCCCAAGACGCCCACAAAAGTTCTCATGGAGCTCCCAACTTTGCTACGCGAGGGCCCCAAGATGATCCCAACAGGCCCCCAAGAAGCTCCCAGTGCAACGGCACGCTAATGTATTTACGTATGGATCGTCGTCGTCATTTTCACCATCGCCTTTTGCCCCTCCAAAACGAGCAGAGATCGGCCGTGCGCCGACGTATGCCGAGAGGCACCGTCACTGGCTCCCTTCTCTCGAAGAGTGCCGAATTCTCGCAATGGGGGGAACCTTCGATTTGTCTCCCAGGATCGTCAGAGTTTCGGTCACAGCTCTTCCTCCCCCCGCCTCCTCATCGTTCTCATCCGCCATTCCTCGTTCGCAAGTCCCCGAAGGCACATGTATTTCACTCCTAGGCCTGCTCAGGCTGATCCCAAGCTTCGGATCGACGGCTTCCCCAAAACTTCATTCCACAGCATGACCCCCCACTTCCTCGGTCAAGGCAAGTTGCCTGGGCATCGTTGCTGGATGGGCTAGTGGGGATACTTTTTCGTTGCCAGCCGCAGACGAGCGCGCCGACGGCGTGTCAAGGTCCGAGCGGGCCGCGCGAGGTCTTGAATTACCTAGCGAAAGCAGGCCCACCACCGCAACTCAGGCCAGTGGGGATGCGCGAAGCGCCAAGAATTTCGAGGCGGGTCCAGCCGCGGCGACGAGGGAATGAGGAGGGTGTCGGGATCTGTTGCTCTTCTGCACCCCGAGGCTGCCACGGGTTGCCGGGGAAATGGTCCGGCGGCGGCGGCACGGACCGCTGCACCGCGGCCGACTGTGCGGGCTGGGCGCCAGCCTGCTGGACGGCGCGGGGCTCCGCCGCGGCTGCCGCCTATCAGGTCGGACGAACCGGGGGAAGGGGGGGGGGATGATTTTCCCAGCGCCGCATGGCGCAGCAGGCCCCAGGGAATTTCTGGAAGCGCCTGGCGGCGGGGCCGAAACCAGCTGCATGCAGCAAATTTCGCCTCCTCTCCTCCCCTGGCAATCGCTCGGACGTCGATTCCCTGGGCATGTTTCGATGCCGTGCGTGTGTTTTCTTGCCCGATGAAAAAGGATGCTCCTCGATGGTCCCCGCCGAGAGAAATCGGCCACACGCAAGAGTGACTCTGGGTGAGGACGACCTGCGGTGCGCAGATTTTTGAGGGCCGCGGGGGGGGACCAAACCCAGGAGCACAAGCCGCTGCTGCCGCTTCGCGTTCAGCGATCGGGCGGCGAAGCTGGCCAAGACCATCGTGCAGGCCTTCCCCGCGAAGGCCCTCCGGGACGAGTTCTGAGGGCCCCCCGGTCGGCGGCGAGCCCGGAGGACGTGTGCACCTTGCGGCCTGTGGGCGGCGCCGCAGACCTTGCCGGAGCGAAGCTTGAGCGAGCTCAAGCCCACGCTCTCTGAAACTCACACGCTGGACCGCCGCAGCGCAGGCGCGCAAGACGCTGCTATCGCATCGCGCTCGCCGGTCGGGGCACCTTCATGGGCCCACACCAAAAGTCACTCTGGCCAAGGCTCATTCTTATGTCTAGTCTTATGTCCGGCCTGTCCCCCGACAGGGGGATTTTGGAATTAGCATTAATTATCCCAGTGCGACCCTACCTGGGAGTTGGAGGATCTAGGAAACCAACATCTATATCTAAACCGAAAGATACATCAACATCTACACCTGCATCTACATCAACATCAACAGCGAGACCCACATCTACATCTACATCTACACCTACATCTACACTTACACGTACATCAACATCTACACCTACATCTGCATCTACACTTTCGCATTGGTTTTGTGTTTGCTTTGCATTGCCTTGCCTCTTCTTGTGGTTTTGCTTGTGGTGTTGCTTTTGTTTTGATGTTGTTTCTGCTTGATTTTGTTGTTGCTTTGCCTGCGCACAGACACACACACACACGCATGTTTTCGCATTCGCTCACCCCGCCAACCTCGGGACAGGTGCGTGGGCGGCTGTGTGGCAGGGGCCTCCGGACTTGAGCCGAAATGGTTACGAAAGGCACTGCTTGCGGGGGCTCGGGTCCGGCCATCGAGGCTAGCTCGGCATCTGTCGCACATTGCTTTTGCTTTGCCTTTCCGTTGCTTTGCTTTTGCTTTGCTTTGCTTTACGTTGCTTGTACTTTGCCTTTGCTTTGCTGTTGTGCTATGCTATGCTATGCTATGCCATGCTATGCTATGCTATGCTGCGCGGTGCTATGCTGTGCTGTGCTGTGCTGCGCTACGCTATGCTAAAGCTTGGCGAAGCTAAGATGAAGGTAAGCTAAGCTAAGATAAACCTGAGCTAAACTGAAACTAAGCTAAGCTAATATGACATAAGCTAAGCTAAGATGAGATAAACATCGCTAAGCTAAGGGGACGTGACTGGGGGAACCACGGGGCGGATGCCGGGGGAACCGCCTGGGGCGATTTACACTGGCCGGCCCTTTAAGAGAACTCAGTAAGAACCCTTCTAGGCAGATCCCCTAGGTAGGGAAAAATACAATGAAAATGCCCCTCAAAGGTCAAAAAAAACTCAAACAATAGGCCCCAGATTATTTCTTGACTATTTTTTGGCTATCGCTGGGGTATGTGTTTTATTTCTCGTCGAAAATCCCCCTGTAGGGGGACAGGCCCGCCTTGAGTCTGGTCGACTCTTACGTGTAGTCGACAGGTGCACGCGTCCGAGCGGTGCCGAGGCCTCTCGCCCGGCCCGAGCCTGCGGGCCCCGCCGCACCGGCTCGCGGACGGGCGGAGGCGGCGGCGCGGGCGCCAGCCACTCCTCGCGGCAGCTGCAGCAGGGGCGGGCAGCCCGGGGAGGGGGCGGGCACGCCAGGCATCAAGGGGCTCCGAGCGCCCGTGCCTTCGACGAGGCCCCTCCGCCTCCTCCTCCTCCTCCTTCTCCTCCTCTTCCTCCTCCTCCTCCTCCCTCCTCCTCCCCTTCCGTCCTCCTCCCCCTCCGTCCTCCTCCTCTCCTCCTCCTCCTCCTCCTCCTCCTCCTCATCTTCCTCCTCCTCCTGTTGCTCCTCCTCATCCTTTTCCTCCTCCTCCTCTCCCCCCTCCCTCCACCTCCCACTCCTCCTCCTCTTCCTCCTCCTCTTCCTCCCCCTCCTCCCCTCCTCCTCCTCCTCCTCCTCCTCCTCCTCCTCCTCCTCCTCCTCCTCCTCCTCCTCCTCCTCCTGTTGCTCCTCCACATGCTCCTCCTCCTCCTCGCCGACGAGTGTGCGCACTGCCCGCCCCTGCGCTGTCCACCCCTGTTGTCTCCGCCGAGTCTCCGGCTGCTCGGCGAAGCGGACCTTGGGCGCCGGCCGCGGCGGCAGCGGCGAGGCGGCCGCCATGGCCATGCGGCCCCGCCTGGGGGCGCCAGCCTTGAGCCGAAACGGCTGCGGAAGGAATGCAACGTGTTCGGTGAGGGGGTCTGGGGAGGAGGCGCACGTGAACAACTGATCTAAACCAATGTTTAAGATCACATCCATAGGCACACCGGCACACCGCCATCCCTCTGCTCTGCCCGCCCGGTCTCCGCCCACCTCGCCTGGCCTGACGGCCGAGGTCGGACGGCTGGCAAGGCGCAGCAGCATATCAGACGTTTTGAAGGAAGCCCGTTGTATTTTCAAGGAGCGACTACTTATGGAGATGCAGTGCTCCCAATTGTGCTGTACACCACCTCGAGTATATGTTCCTCCCCTGGGCTGCGCCAGAGCAGGATGGAGCGCAACGTGGCTGCCTTTTGAATGGTCCTCCTGTACCGCCCAGTTTGGCACCACGGGAGGACCCAACGCAAAATGCACGGCTTCACTGCCCCGGCTTCACTGCCCAAGCTTGTCGGAATGAACAGGTGGCACACACAATTCGCCTGGGGGCTCGACTCGACTCAAAACCGCTGTCCGTGAGGCTCGCTTCATAATGCAAGATTTCACCGCCAAAATCTACCGGTAGGGGTTTGGGACGGTGCTGGTGCCAACCAGAACAACGAACACTACAGCAGGCATGCCGCTGTATCCGAGGTTTCTAGTGATGAGAACTACCTATTTGGTTTACTGGGCATTCACCTATTGCAAGCGAGACGCAACATTGCACCATGTTTCTGCCGCGCGCCTCGCCGTATTAGCCGTTCTGCCACCGGGCGCTCATAGGCCCTGAGCCACGGCGAAAAGGGAGTCGCTCCCGCAGGGGACTCCTCTGGCAGGGTTTGCATGCGTTGGCCCTGACCGTTCACTGGGAGGCTGACACGAGGAGGGCGCTCTCCCTCCCCGCCTGCGCCTGGGGAGCCCAGGGGAAAGGCCTTCTCCTCCTCCTCCTCCTCCTCCTCCTCCTCCTCCTCCTCCGCGCTGTCCCTCCCCGCCTGGGCCTGCGCCTGGGGAGCCCCAGGGGAGACGCTTCCTCGTCCTCCTCCACGTCTTTCTCATCCTCGCCTCCCTCCCCAACTCCGAGATCGGTGCAACAAGCTGTTCAGCATTGTTTCGGTGGGCCTCTTCGGCGCATGAGCAAGTAGAAGGGTCGTGGAACGCGGCGAGGCCAGCCCGACTGGGCGCAGGCGCCGCCAGTCCGACTGGGCGCAGGCGCAGGGGGGCCCCTGCAGGCCTCCTGGGGGGGCTCCGGGGGCCGGTTTTCTGAGGATGTCCCACGCGAGGGCGCCGGTTTGGAATTCGTCGCCGGATTCGCCGGATTTCTCTGATCTCGCGCCGGGGGTCAGGATGACGTGAGTTCCACAGAAACTCCCTCAAACGACGCGGTGCTGAACAAATACATGCACACACACACACACGCACACACACATGCAGCATTCCACATCTTACAGCTACACCTACATCTACAACTACATCTACATCCACATCGGCAGCTAAGATAAGCTAAGCTGAGCTAAACTAAGCTAAGCTAAGCTATGCTAGGCTATGATATGCTATGCTATGCTGCGCTGTGCTATGCTAAGTTAAGCTATGCTATGCTATGCTATGCTATGCTATGCTATGCTGCGCTTTGCTTTGTCTTGCTTTGCTGTGCACCCAGCGACAGCAGGCTGTTCAGCACTGCTCGCGGCCCCTGCAAGTGCTGCAGGCTGTTCAGCACTGCTTGCACTAGATTCAACACTGCTCGCGGCTCCTGCAAGAGCTGCAGGCTGTTCAACACTGCTTGCGGGGGCTCCGGTCCGGCCATCGAGGCTAGCTCGGCACCTGTCGCACATTGTTTTTGCTTTGCCTTTCCTTTGCTTTGCTTTTGCTTTGCTTTGCTTTGCGTTGCTTGTGCTTTGCTGTTCTGTTGCTGCTGTTGCTTTGCCTTTGGTTTGCTGCTATGCTATGCTATGCTATGCTATGCTATGCAATGCTATGCAATGCTATGCTATGCTATGCTATGCTGCACTATGCTATGATATGCTATGATATGCTATGCTATGTTATGCTATGCTATGCTGCGCTATGCTATGCTATGCTATGCTATGCTATGCTACGCTATGCTATGCTATGTTATGCTGGGCTATGCTATGATATGCTAAGCTAAGCTACAGCTGCAGCTGCAGCTACAGCTAAGCGAAGCTAAGTTGAAGCTAAGCCAAGCTAAGCTAAACTAAGCTAAGATGAGATACGCAAAGCTAAGGTAAGGGGGCGCAACTGGGGGAACCGCGGGTCGGGGACCAGGGGAACCGCCCGGGGCGAGGAACACTGCCCGGCCCCTTTAAGCTAATAGAGTAAGAACCCTCTAGGCAGAGCCTAGGTAGGGAAAAACTGGTATCGAGGGTGTGGGATATACGTGTTGAAGGGCCCGCGAACAGATCAGAGTGAATGGTCGTTAAACTTGTTGTTGTTCATGTTGTTGGCGCCGTCCCACCCGGGACCCCACCCGCGACCCGCCCGCGACCCTCGCGCGACCCACGTGCGACCCACCCGCGACCCACCCGCGACCCACCCGCGATCCACCCTGCGACCAACCCGCGACCCACACGCGACCCACACGCGACCCGGTAGCGACCCAGCAGCGACCCACCCGCGACCCACCCGTCACCCGGCCCGCGACTTGCCCGCGACTTGCCCGCGACCCACACAGATTGCTTTAACGATTTATCCCGGCAGAGCAACCTAACAGCGATGTGTAGGAGCATATCTGGAAGCATTCCCTTTAAGATTCAGATGAGAATCCAGTTGTAGAATTCTGCTGTTCTCGCAGTCGTAGTCGCATTCGCGATGACAGTCGCAGTGGCAACGACAGTCGCAGTCACAGCCTCAGCCTCAGCCTCAGCCTGCCTCAGCCTCAGCCTCAGCCTGCCTCAGCCTCAGCCTGCCTCAGCCTCAGCCTCAGCCTGCTTCAGCCTCAGCATCAGTCTGCCTTCAGCCTCGGCCTCAGCCTCAGCCTGCCTCAGCCTCACCCTGCATCAGCCTCGGCCTCAGCCTCAGCCTGCCTCAGCATCAGCCTGCCTCAGCCTCAGCCTCAGCCTGCCTCAGCCTCAGCCTCAGCCTGCTTCAGCCTCAGCCTCAGTCTGCCTTCAGCCTCGGCCTCAGCCTCAGCCTGCCTCAGCCTCAGCCTCAGCCTCAGCCTCAGCCTCAGCCTGCCTCAGCCTCAGCCTGCCTCAGCCTCAGCCTCAGCCTGCTTCAGCCTCAGCCTCAGTCTGCCTTCAGCCTCGGCCTCAGCCTCAGCCTGCCTCAGCCTCAGCCTGCATCAGCCTCAGCCTCAGCCTCAGCCTGCCTCCTCAGCCTGCCTCCTCAGCCTCAGCCTGCCTCAGCCTCAGCCTCAGCCTCAGCCTCAGCCTCAGCCTCAGCCTCAGCCTCAGCCTCAGCCTCAGCCTCAGCCTCAGCCTCAGCCTCAGCCTCAGCCTCAGCCTCAGCCTCAGCCTCAGCCTCAGCCTCAGCCTCAGCCTCAGCCTCAGCCTCAGCCTCAGCCTCAGCCTCAGCCTCAGCAGCATCAGCCTGCCTCAGCCTCAGCCTCAGCCTGCCTCAGCCTCAGCCTCAGCCTCTGCCTTCAGCCTCGGCCTCAGCCTCAGCCTGCCTCAGCCTCAGCCTGCATCAGCCTCAGCCTCAGCCTCAGCCTGCCTCAGCATCAGCCTGCCTCAGCCTCAGCCTCAGCCTCAGCCTGCCTCAGCCTCAGCCTCAGCCTGCTTCAGCCTCAGCCTCAGTCTGCCTTCAGCCTCGGCCTCAGCCTCAGCCTGCCTCAGCCTCAGCCTGCATCAGCCTCAGCCTCAGCCTCAGCCTGCCTCAGCATCAGCCTGCCTCAGCCTCAGCCTCAGCCTGCCTCAGCCTCAGCCTCAGCCTCAGCCTCAGCCTCAGCCTGCTTCAGCCTCAGCCTCAGTCTGCTTCTTCAGCCTCAGCCTCAGCCTCAGCCTGCCTCAGCCTCAGCCTGCATCAGCCTCAGCCTCAGCCTCAGCCTGCCTCAGCATCAGCCTGCCTCAGCCTCAGCCTCAGCCTGCCTCAGCCTCAGCCTCAGCCTGCTTCAGCCTCAGCCTCAGTCTGCCTTCAGCCTCGGCCTCAGCCTCAGCCTGCCTCAGCCTCAGCCTGCTGCCTCAGCCTCAGCATCAGCCTGCCTCAACATTCAAAATGTGGCCCGGGAATGGAGTTCTGGGAACTCGAAGAACACGAAGTGGCCTACAGTTGGCTCCGGGCATTCAAAATCATGCCCAGGACTGGAGTTTTGGGAACTCGAAGACCACGAAGAAGCCTACAGTTGGCTCCGGGCATTCAAACTGTGGCCCGGGAATGGAGTTCTGGGAACTCGAAGAGCACGAAATGGCCTACAGTTGGCAATCCGGGCATTCAGAATGTGGCCCGGGAATGGAGTTCTGGGAATTCGAAGACCACGAAGTGGCCTACAGTTGACTCCGGGCATTCAAAATCAAGCCCAGGAGTGGAGTTCTGGGGCCTCGAAGACCACGAAGTGTGCAACTGTTTGCTTAAAACGACTTCCGCGGATTCTCCCCGGCACCCGTCCGGCATCTGCCCAGACCCCCCTGAGGAGTCAAGATGCTTTCTTTTGAGACCATTAGAAACCTATCAGTTTTCGCTGTTCGGTAAAAAATCGGAGCCTGCAGCGGGCGCGTTGTCAGTGTGGGGGGGTCGAGCGGTCATTCACTGTCCATGGGCGCCTGGCCGAAGAGAGGTTCCGCGGTGCGGGTTGGATTCTCACTTCTGACCAATAATCCCACCAGCCCTCTGGGCGGCAGGTGGTCTAACGATTATCTTCTTTCTTCTTCTATAAACCCTTCTTTCCCTTCGGGGAGGGGTTTATCACTGTTCCCTATTAATAAACACCCCCTCCCCCAGGCGACTGGGGGCCAACCCGGGTCCATGACGACACCCCCCCACACACACACACAATTCCTACTAAAAAACAGTGCTCCAAATTCGGAACATGCGCAGCCAACCCGATGCGGCCCCCCCCCACCATCCCTTCCAAAAAACAATATATAGTACACTTGGCGGCGGCGGCGGCGACTGCGGCGGCGGCGGCGGCGGCGGCGGCGGCTGCGGCGGCGGCGGCGGCGGCGGCGGTGGCGGTGGCGGCAGCGGCTGCGGCGGCGGTTTGGCAGCGGGGGGCGGCGGCGGCGGCGGCGGCGGTGGCGGCAGCGGCTGCGGCGGCGGCGGCGGCGGCGGCGGCGGCGGCGGCGGCAGGCGGCGGCGGCGGGCAGCGGCGGCGGCGGCGGCGGCGGCGGAGGCGGCGGCGGCGGCGGCGGATTGGCCCCCAGTAGCTGCCCATCCAAAGACGACTGCTGAATATGCTCAAGCTCGAGCCAGACTCGGGTGCTACGTATGTGTTGGGAGGGCGGGTGGGAGTGAGCGAGACGGCTTGCAGGAGGGGAGGGGGTCTTGACCCCTCGCCCTACCCCCTCCCCCTCCCCTGGACCTGGACGGGGGGGGCGCGATCCGTTGGAGCGTCCAAGATCAGCCCCTGGAAGGGTCAATTTCTGCTACCCGAGGATCGTGGCCCCCGAGGGGTGGGCGCCGATCGGGGACCCTCCCTCCTTTGAACGATAGCCCCGAGGATGGCCCCAAGAGGCGCTCCAGGGCTCCCAAGAGAGCCCCAAGATGGCTCCAAGAGAACCCCAAGAGGGCTCCAAGAGGCACCCGAAAGGCCCCCAAGAGGCCCCCGAGCGGTCTCAGAGAGCCTAAGATGACCCTCAATATGGCTCAGATAGCCCAAACTGGCTCAAGATGGCTCCCAAGATGCCCCAAACGGCCCCAAGGCTGCTCCAAGAGCGCTCAAGAGCGCTCCAAGAGAGCCCCAAGAAGCCGTTTGCCGGCTCCTGAAGGTGGAGTTGAGTTGGGGACCCCCCCATCCTGTAATAAATGGCCTCCAAGATGATCCCAAGAAACCTTCCAGGGTTACCAAGATGGGCTCGAAACCTCCAGAGAGCACCAGCGGCAGCAGCAGCAGCAGCCGCAAGAATACCTCTAGATGGTTCCATGAGTCCTCGTCCGCGTCGTCCTCATCCTAATCCTCGTCCTCCTCGTCCTCGTCCTCATCCGCGTCCTCGTCCTCCTCGTCCTCCTCGTCCTATTCGTCCTCCTCCTCCTCCTCCTTCTCCTCCTCCTCGTCCCCTCGCCCCCACGCGGCACTCAGGGATGGCTTGAAGAGACCTTCCAAGGCCACCCCCTTGCTCGCTTTGTTTCCCTCGATGTGTCTCTTCGTCCCTTTTTCCCGTCAGCTCTGAATGGCAGGGTTTCTGAATGGGCCAGTGGGGATACGCGAAAAATGAAGCATGATTGTTAATGCCCCCCTCCGGCGCGGCTCGCACACTGTTTTATTTAACCAGGGGAAATGTTGGGGCTCAAAATAGGCCACCGGCCCCGACTTGCAACAACAGCAACTCCCCACGGACACTTCCTCCCACGTCGCGCTTTCGCGCGCGGAACTTCCGCAACATGTATGCATGAATCGCGCTCTCGCGTGGGACTTCCTCGCAATGTATTCAGACACCGCGCCCTCGACACTCAGGAATCACGTTTTCGCTTGGCCTCTCTGACGATTCACTGGCGAATCGCGCTATCGCTCGAGACTTCTTCGCGGTTCATGCAATACTCACGCTTCAGCAACCGGCCTGCTCGACCTGGCCGCCTGGGCCCGCATTTCCGACCCGCCCGTTAGGGTCTACCCGCCCGATCAGCCCGTCTGGTTCTGCCACGTGGTTTTTTTGCTCGCATCCCCGTCCTGCTAATCTCTTTCGTGCTCCATTTATCTCCATCCAACTTCCATCCGTCCTTGCCCTCCCCTGTTGTACGGGCTGCGCTAAATGCACCTGGCAGATAATGAAGATATGCCCCCAAGAGGGTCGGATCGAAAACGAAGAGGGCGGGCATCGAGGGTTTAGGGTACACGTGTTGAATGTCGCGCGAGCAGATAAGAGCGAACCGTCTTAAAATGACGCTTGTTGAATTCTTGTTTCCCAGATATCACTTTTGTTGATACCCTCTTCCAATAACCATCTTATATGTTCAATCAAAACGTTATGCCCCGTGGCTCGGACCCTGTTTTCTTGTCTCAAAAGGAAGCGAAGGGTCACCAAACTGAATTGTGAGGCCCCGAACTACAACAAAAACGGCTCCCCCATGACATGTCATTCCCATGTTGCACTCTCGCGCGGGACTTCCTCACAATGTATGCAGAAATCGCGCTCTTGCGTGGGACGTCCTCGCAATGTCTGCAGACGCCGCGCCCTCGACATCCAAGAACTATTTTCTCGTTCTGGCCTTTCACGACTCACTAAGTTTCGTGGCACGATTTACTTGGGAATCGCGCTCTGTCCTCGCGATAATTGCAATACTCACGCTTCAGCAACCCGCCTGTTCGAACTGGCCGCCTGGGCCCGCCTTCCCGACCCGCTCGTTAGAGTCGACCCGCCCGATCAACCCGTCTGGTTCCAATTTCTGCTCCTAGCCCCCCTTCTGCTACTCCCGTGTTCCATCCTTTTCCATCCCCCTTCCACCTGTCCTCTCTTCCCCTGCTCCAGGGTCTGCACCAATTACATGCCGCAGGTGAGGAAGAACGACCCCCAACGGGGTACTCGAAGACGAAGCAGGTGGGCACCGAGGGTTTAAGATATACGTGTTGAATGGCACGCGAGCATGTAAGAGCGAACAGTCGTTAAAATCACTGTTGTAACTGTTGAGTTGCTTGTTGTTTGCTGTCGTCGTCCCACCCGCGGCCAAACCCGCGACCCACCCGCGACCCAACCGCGACCCACCCGCGACGCACCCACGACGCAACCGCGACCCACTCCCGACCCACACGCGACCCACCCCGCGACCCGTCAACGACCCACCCGCAACCCACCCACGACCCAGCCGCGACCCACCCGCCACCCGGCCCGCGACCCGGCCCGCGAACAACACGCAACACTCTCGCGACCCACCTACATCGCTAATAAAAGATATCCCAGTGCGACCCTACCCTGGAGTTGGGGCATTTAGGAAAGCAGCATCTACATCTACACCGACTTTATGCTATGCTATGCTGCGCTATGCTATGCTATGATATGCTATGCTATGCTATGTTGCGCTATGCTATGCTATGATATGCTATGCTGCGCTATGTTATGCTATGCTAGGCTATGATATGATATGTTATGCTGCGCTATGCTATGCTATGATATGCTATGCTGCGCTATGCTATGATATGATATGATATGCTGCGCTATGTTATGATATGCTATGATATGCTGCGCTATGATATGATATGCCATGCTATGCTATGATGTAGTATGCTATGCTATGGTGTGGTATGAAATGCTACGCGGCGCTATGATATGCTGCGCTATGATATGCTATGATATGCTATGACATGCTATGATATGATATGCTATGCTAGTGCTGCGCTGCGCTCAACTAAGCGAAGCTGATCTGAGCTAAGCTAGGCTAGGCTAAGCTCAGCTAAGCTAAGCTGAGCTAGGCTAGGTTCGGCTAAGCTTAGCTAAGTTAAGCTAAGCTAAGCTGAGTTCCGCTAGGCTAAGCTAAGATGAGATAAGCAACGCGAAGCTAAGGGAACGTCACTGGGGGAACCGCGGGGCGGATACTGGGGGAACCGCCCGGGGCGGGCCCCACTGCCCGGCCCTTTAAGCTTACCGAGTAAGAACCCTTCTAGGCAGAGCCTAGGTAGGGAAAAAATCGGCGCCTGCGGCGGACTTCTTCAGCGTCTCGCAGACTGCCGACGTCCCAGCCGCCCCCTCACTCTTACCCGCAACTGCGGGGCGCAACGTCGAAATTGTAAAAATTGGACACATGCGACGGGCTTCTTCAGAGCCTCGCAGATTGCCGGCGTTCCCGCTGCCCCCTCTCTCTTATCCGCAACTGCGGGGTGCTACGTGTGTATACATAGAGGCCGCATACACTTTCGGCCGCACTCAGCCTGTGCGAAAGCCGCACGGGCGCTCAAGTCACACAAGCACACGCGCACACACAAACATACAACCACACGCCCATACGCCTGGGCATTCCTCCATCCTCCCTCTTCCCTCCGCCCTTCTCCCTTTCCCCTCCTTATATCCTCCCCCCCTCCGCCTCATCATCCTTCTCATCACCATCATGCATACTCCTTTCTTGCTTGTCATGTCTCCGCTCTCTGTCATCCTTCCTGCTCCCTTCTCCCATCTCCCCCTTTCGTCGTCCCCCTCGTCATCCTCTTCACCATCTTGCACCACTCTCACTCATCCACCCCGTCCGCTCTCGCCCCCTCCACCTCGCCCTCCCCATCCCCCTCCCCCTTCCCCCTCATCGCCGTCGCCGTCGCCGTCACCGTCGCCGTCGCCGCCGCCGCCGCCGTCGCCGCCGCCGTCGTCGTCGTCGTCGTCGTCGTCGTCGCCGCCATCGTCGTCGTCGTCGCCGCCGCCGCCGTCGTCGTCGTCGTCGTCGTCGTCGTCGTCGTCGTCGTCGTCGTCGTCGTCGTCGTCGTCGTCGTCGTCGTCGTCCCCCCCTCCCGCATCCCCAGTCCCCTCTCCCCCATCTCCCCCCTCTCTGGCCGTCGCCCCGGTCGTGGTCGACTTCGCGGCCCTGGCTGGTGCTGCCGTGGTGGCCACTGGTCGAAGGGGGCCTCTGCGGGCCCAAAGCCCGAAAGTACCCGGCCCTTACGCGCACGCAGCCGACCCGTCCAGCCCCCGCCGTCGCCACATTCGTGATCGACCTTGCGGCCGTGGCCGAGGCCACCGTGCATGTCGTCGTCGCGGTCGTCGGCGTCGTGGCGGCAGCCGTCGTCGTCGTCGTCGTCGTCGTCGTCGTCGTCGTCGTCGTCGTCGTCGTCGTGTGTCGCCGTCGTCGTGTGTCGCCGTCGTCGTGTGTCGCCATGTGACGTCGCCGTGGCGGCGACCGTCGTCGCGGCTGTGCGCATGGGCCACGGCCTGCGCCTGCGCCTGCGCCTGCGCGGCGGCCGCCGCCTGCGCCTGCGCCTGCGCCTGCGCCTGCGCCTGCGCCTGCGCCTGCGCCTGCGCCTGCGCCTGCGCCTGCGCCTGCTGGCGAGGACCGGCCGTCGGAAGGAATCGGAGGATGGGGGGGAGAAAGTTATGAAGAAAATCCTGGAGGCCTCGCGCGGCAACTTGAGTTCCGATGTACGTCGGGTCCACGTCGGATTTACGTCGGGTTCACGTCGGACTACGTTGGATTCACGTCGGATTTACATCGGACTGACTCTGGAGCATCGCCGCGCGAGCGTCGACCCATAGCTTACGGAACTGACAAGTGGACTAGATCATACTACCATTACGCGCGGCTCGAGGCCTCAAGGATTTTCCTCATAAAGAAATGGCGGGAGGAGAAGAAGGACCTGAGGAGGGCGAAGCGGAGAAGGCGAAGAAAGGGAGGAGGAAGACAACGACCTAAGAGGAAGGAACTCAGGAGACAGAGGCAGGGAGAAGGGGGAGGAGGGGAGCCTTTCGGGAGAGAGTCAGCTCAAGTTCGGAAGTGAGCTGTGCTAAAACGCCCCCGCTGCTTCTGGATCTCATCGTCCGCGCTCCCTTGCTGCACCGCTCTTTGCTCATTGGATGGGCCGAGGTTAGCAGACTGCCGATCATCTTCTGCACGACTTGCGGAGGATTCAGCATGGGCAGAGAAACCAAGCTGAGCGGCCCTTGTCCAACCTCCATCTACACCGTCTCCGAGTTAGGAAAGCTGCGGAGTTAAGAAAGTTCGGGAAAGCGTCATCTCTATCCTTGTAACGAGGGGCGAACGCTGATCTCAGGCTTCTCTTTCTTCAAACTGGCTTTGTGGTTGCAAAACCAGTTTTGCAGAGCTCGGAGCTCCAAGTTCAGAGCCCCGTTCCGAGACCCGGCGAGGATCGGAGGAAAGGGGGGGGGGCAGGCGTTTGTTGATAGACTTCGGCCTCTTGGAGCCCGCATCAGGCCCCAGGACCGGGGAAACCGACCTGGATGAACACCTTGCCAAGATGGACCCCAGGATGGGGTCTGGGAGCCAGATTTGCACAGATCTTGGTCGGGGTATGGGGAGGACTGGAGGAGGAGCACGAGGATGGAGGGGCGCCATCGTAAACCCACGATGCACCAACAATGCTGCGATACACCCTGCCACCCCAGATCCCCTCTTCACTCGTCATTGCGCGAAGCGATATCCTTCAATCTGTGGCGGGAGGGGGAGAAGCATCAGGAGCAGGAGCAGGAGAGGACGTCGGGGAGGAGGGGAAGGGGGGAGGGGGAGAAGGAGGAGGAAGGGGAGGAGGAGGAGGAGGAGGAGGAGGAGGAGGAGGAGAAGGAGCAGGAGGAGGAGGAGGAGGAGGAGGAGGGTAATGAAATCTAAAGTCGCGCCCAACAACAACCCGCGTTTGAAAATGAACTGCCCTTCGTCCGTGCACCTGTTTGGCACGTGCATGCTTCTGTTCGCAAGATCTAACGACGTCTCGGCTCCAACGAGAACCCATGTTTGAACTGGAATCACAACTTCCTCCGTGTAGCCCGTGGACAACGTAACACGTGCGTTTCTTGAATTGAAGCGTCTCGGGCGAGAAACCCAGTTGAAAAAAAGAGAGCCGCTCTCCATCGCGCTGCCTTTTTTAATCCTTGGGGCGAATGCGCGCAACGCTAAAGCGAGAACCCAATTCAAAACAAAACAGACCGCCCACAATCCGTTTAGCTGTCTGCTCGTTGTCATAGAAGTTCACGACTGCGGCGCCAAGGAGAGAGTCAACTTTCGAAACCGACGCGCGGGAACCCCATTTGGAAACAGAGATGGCCGCAACCAGCGAACAAGATTCTCAGTTTCTTGAATGGTTTAAACCTGTAGCGTTTAAGTGTCTTTACAATTCTTTCCAATGAGGTGTGCTTGCGTATTGCTCGGCGGCCTCATTCATGGTGGTCCACCAATATGTAAGGGTAATTAATTGTGTTTTCCCCGCGGCACCCGTCGCGCAGCAACGACGCCGACAACTACGGCTGCGATCGCGACTACGACTGCGATTGTAACTACGACGATAACTAGTCATTATGCCTAGGAAAATCTCGCTGCCGACGCTGAAGATGCGCGTGTCTATTTAATTGCTGTAAATGTAGATGAGCGCGTCGTGCAGTCCTCGTACACACGCGACGAGATGAAGGAGGAGATGGCGAGCAACGCCGTTTGCGAAGAATACGTCGATCTGTGTTGCAATCCTCTTAACAACCGTGCTCAGCATTCCTCTGTCGTGCAGGGCTGCCCGGAGAGCGTTTTGACCCTGGGAGAAAGAAGCCCCGAACATGGCCCGGCCCGCCCAACAGTAGAGGAAAACTCATATCCGCCGCGACAAGGAGGTTTTTTAGGACCAGTCCCACTCACCGCCGAGAGAAAAAAGACGGGTCTAAACCTAACAACCCTTTGAGGTTACTTCGCTTTTCGGCCTGAAGAGCGCACAATTAGGCCCAAGAGCTCCCAAACTATCGCCCCAGCACGGCCGCAGAGGCCCCCAACACGGCTTCCAACTAGGCCCAGAAGGGGAAGTGCGAGCTGGCATCCCGCCCCAAGATGGGCATCCGAGATCGCCAGAACGCCCCCAGGCCCCCAGGAGGCCCCAGCAGGCCCCCCCGAGGCCCCCAGACGCCCTCCCCCCACAGGCTCCCAGCCCAGGAGACCTGGGGGGCCCCGCACGAGCCTCCGAAGAGGAGCCCCAGGAGACCCCGAGGGACATGTATTATGTCGGGCGTGTCCCCCTACAGGGGGATTCTCGACGAACAATATTAAAAAACTCCAAAAATACACCGAAAAGGTCAACAAATACTCAACACATGATCCCCAAACTATGTTTGGACAATTTTCGTCGAAGAGTCCCACTTGTAGGGGGACAGGAGCGCCCGGAGCAGCAGAGGCCCCGGGAAGCAGCGCCGTGGCAGGGGCAGGCCCGAGAAGGGGCCACGCCGCCTGGGCCGCTGCAGCCACCGCCGCGCCGCCTGCCCCGGGAGCCGTGCTGGGCGCGGGCGGCGGCGGCGGGGGCCTCGGTCGCGCCGTCGTCGTGGCCGCCGTCGTCGACGACGTCGTTGCCAACGCCATCGCCCTCGTCCTCACCGTCACGTCGCCGTCGTCGTCGTCGGCGACGTCGTCTTCGCCGTCGGCGTCGGCTTCGTCGCCTGTCGCCGTCGCCATCGAGATCACCCGCGTTGTCGCCATCACCTTCGTCGCCATCACCCTCGCTGTCGTCGTCGTCGACGTCGTCGTTGTCGCCGTCGCCGTCGTCGTCGTCAACGACAACGTCGTCGACGTCGTCGTCATCCTCATCGTTGTGGCCGTCGCCATCGTCATCGTCATCGTCGGCGTCGTCGGCGCTGCCACGAGACTTCAATCATCACGCTGTTCTTCCGGGGGTCCCAACCTAAACGGCGTGAAAAAACTGTCAGACTTACCCGGGCCTGGAAATGATAATAAACAGAAGCTGCCCTCAGGGGCCAGGCCAACCCCTGCCAGCGGCTGACTCAGGGGTTGGCGGGGAGGGGAACGGGGGGGGGGGAGGGCAAGGGAGGCGGCGCTGGACGAGGGCGAAGTGAAACGGTGGGGAAGATGGTCGGAAGCTCCGGAACGCAGCAAATTGCAGTATCCCTGCAGTTCCTCTGACACCCAGGGCGACGCTTGCGTTCGTCTCCAGGGTCTTGGCCAAGGCTGCGGCTCCCTCATCACCAGTCTTCCAGTCTTGCTGAGTTCGAAGTCAATCATGGCGATGGCACCGTTCCTCTGCAGGGTATTGGCCATGTCTGCGGCGGCCAGGACTGCGACCACGTCAGCACCAAGCGGGTCGTCGTCGACATGAATCGTGACGATGGCCGCGTTCGTCTCCAAGGCCTTGGTGGTCCACGCGGTGGTGATGATCGTGCTCGCCTCCAGGGGTTCAGCCAGAACTGCGGCCCACTCAGCATCAGTATTGCTGCCGCCGAGGTGGATCTTGGCGATGTTCTTTTTTGTCCCCAGGGCCGTGGCCTAGGGCTGCGGCTCCCTCGTTATCAATGTGCTTGACGCGGAGGTCGCTCGTGATGATGCCCACGTTCGTCTCCTGGGCCCAGGGCTGCGGCCCCCTTTATCACAATGTATGTTGCCTTGGAGGCAGGTCGCGGCGATGGTCGCGTTCGCTTCCACGGCCTTGGCCAAGTGTGCGGCCCCCTCATCGCCAATCGCGTTGGCGTCTAAGTCCATCGTGGTGCTGGTCGCGGTCGTACCCAAATCCTGAGGTCGGTCGTGGTGATGGTCGCGCTCATCTCCAGCGCCGCGGCAACGGACGCGGCCCCTCCGCGCGAATCCTGCTGCATCTGGGGCTCGTCTGGGCGAGGATATTGAAGTCGTGCCACGCAGTGCTGGATTCTGACACGCAGGAGCTGGATACTAGCGTAGTCTCAAAGCTGTGCGCCCCTTTGCGTGAAAACTCCTGGTAGGTCTCCACGCACCTCTTCGTTACGAACGGGCGGTTCTTGCCCCTCTGCCATTCGTGGATCTGCGCGCTGTCCTGCCCCGTCAGACTCTGCTCGTGCGCGAGTTCGTCGGATAACCGCCAGGGGTTGCAAGCAGGCCGCCTTCTACTCCGGCGAGACGCAATTCTATAAGGAACCTCGCCACGCGGCACGAACACATTCCAAACGCCTGGAATGGTGGGCTTCCTTGCTTGGCTCGTCCGCATGTCTTTCCTCGCGCGTAGCCTTTGCTGCGGGGCAACATGGACGAAACAAAGGTTAGGGTGTGTCCGCGACACCCGTGAAGCCGGCCCACACGCCAACAGTGTGAGGAAGCCGCTGACATGCTCCGTGCAGGGAGCGACCGCCTCTGCACGGGCGCTGCGGCCGCAGAAAAGAAGACGTCTTGCATCCCATCCTGCTGCTCAAGTGGGAAAGCGACGCCCCCCGATCAAGCGAACGCGAGAAGCTTGACGGAGAGACCTGAGCCAAGGCAACGGTCACACAGTTGCATGATCGACCCACGAGCCTGGAAAGGGATACACCACTGCCCTAAGTTGGGCCACACCTATATATATATATATATATATATATATATATATAGGAAGTGGCATTGATAAGGGTACCTATGGTGTTCTGTGCATAACCGTGCCAGGGGCTGTGCTGCGCTGTGCCTTGCTGTGCTGTTGAACTCTGCTGTGCTCTCTTGCGTTGTGAACCCAGTCGTCCTTGGCGTCTTCCTCCTGCTGGAACATGCAGACGCGCTGGAGGGGAGGAACATGCAGGAACATGCAGACGCGCTGGAGGGGAGGAGGAGGTGGAGGATGGGGAGGAGGAGTCTTGCCCGACCTGATCTGAATATTGAGCTGCAGCTGCCTGCACGCATGGGTCGCACAGAGATGGCTGTAGTGGAGAGGCGCGGGGCCCTCAACCAGCTCGAGCTCAAGATCCGATCCACTTCCGAAACGGGCAGACCCGACTGGGGGCGCAGGGCGCAGGGACGCGCCACGTGATGTGCCAGGGGCGTGCCAGGGGATGCCCAAGGGGGACGTGCCAGGGGAAGTATCAAGGGAAATGCCATGGACGTGTCAATGACCTGCCACGGGACGTTCCAAGGGGCGGCCAAAAGCGTGCCAGGGGACGCGACACGGAATGGGCAAGGAAGCGCCACCAGGACGAGCCAAAGAACGCGCGAGAGGATGTGCCTGGGGACGTGCCACGAGACGTGCCGTGGACGTGCCAAAGGATGCGCCAAGGGAAGAGCCATGGGACGCGCTATGGAACATGCCAAGAGACGTGCCGAGAGATGCGCCACGGAATGTGTCAGGGGGCGCGCTGCAGACGTGCCAGGGTAAACGCAAGCCAGGGCACGTGCCAGGAGACGCGCCAAGGGACGTGCCACGGAACGTGCGAGGGACGAGCCAAGGGACGACCCATCCGGCTCTGTAAATCGCATCCGCTGGATCCGCGCTCCCAGGCAAGGGGCCCCTCGCAGGCGTAAAAGAACAGTTGCCCACGCTCTCGTGGCCCTGGGTGCCTGTCTTCTGGGCTGCGTTGTCGTAGGATCAACGGTTGACGATTGGAGATCGATGAGAGCACGGATGAAGGAAAGCAGTAGGAGGGAGAGAGATCGAGGATGGTCGACGATCAAAGGGACGGGGGCGGAAGGATTGATGGGAAAGGAAGAGGAGCAGGAGGAGGATGAGGACGATAAGAGGTCGAGGAGAAAGAGAAGTTGCAGGATAGGAGGTAGGATGAGGGGGATAGGAGGAGAAGGGGGCGAGTTCTAGGACCGTGGCGAAGACGAGGCGACGGAGAGGAAAGAGGAAGGCGAGGAGAAGAGTCGCAGCTGAATCGACATCCTACGGTCGAATATGGTCTTGGCATCCACGGGCCCGAAGGGGTCAGGGATGTGGCGTAAGCCAATGAATCAAGTTTTCTCCACGACAGGGCCGTTTTTTTACCGGTTCCGTTTTGCCGTTTTCTTGCCGGTTCCGACGCCTTTTTTCACCCGTTCCGTCGCCGTTCTTTTACGGGTTCCCGCTCCGGCTCCAATCCTGGAGCCGTTTTTGTTGCCGTTTCGTTGCCGTTTTTTGTTACCGTTTCCATTTTCAAAGATCACTTTTTCGGAAACGGTGAAAAAACGGCCCTGCCGTTTCCAGGGCTCACGACCCCTTGTGAAACTCCACGGGTCCGCGGCCCCTGGGCCAGGATTCCTTTGCAACTAAACGCTGCGTCCGCGCGCCCAGGGTCGAGCGCCTTCGAAAGTCAAGTGTGCGCTCGCGCTCTCAGGGCCAAACATCCTCTGCAAGTTGCGTCAACGTCCAAGACATCCTCGAGCCGCGAGCCCCGTCCTCCCTCCTTCTGTTACACCCCCTAATATGACGAACGAACAACACACACCCATACCCATAGGGGGGTCGTTGGGAGGAGGACTGGCTATGGGCATGGGTGCTTGTCGTCGGACCCTGGGAAACGCTCCCGTTCGAGCGGGGACCCCCATCCGACAACACGCACCCATAGCCCTTTCCGACCCCCCTATGGGTATGGGTGTGTTGTTGGTTCGTCGTAGTGGGGGTGACTCCTTTGATGGTGAGAAAGAGATGGTCGACCCCCGTGGGCGCTGAACCAACGTTTGCCGCGCCCCGGTCCGTCCTGGGAACGAGCCTCTTCCGTGACGGCCCCTGGCCCTCGAGGCTCCCCTCGGGCTGCCTGCCCACGTCCTGGAACGAGGCGAAGGGCCGTCGTGCAAAAGGTCGGCTTGCTATGGGTCGGTCAGGCCGCGCCTGACATCCGCACCGCAGCACCTGCGGTCGCCAGCAGAGAGAAAGAGAGAGAGAGTTGCTGCCACTGAAATGAAGCCAGCGCTGCAGCGGGAGCACGATTCAGGAACGAACGGAAGCGCGGAAAGGAGCCCAGCGCTGCAGCGGGAGCACGATTTGGAACGAGCAGAAGGCCGAACATGAGGCCAGCGTTTCGGCAGGAACAACGTAACATGTTGAATCAAAGCCCAAGCGCAAACCCTGTTCCCGGGAATCCTGTGTAAACCAAGATACGCGGAGGGGGGGCGAATATCTTCCGGGCGTCATCAGAGGGGAGAGGGGAGTAGCAGTCATACTGTGTGAATGTGGAGGAGGGAGGAAGAGGAAGGAGCAGGACGAGGGGGAAGGAAGAAGGAGGGAGGGAGGAGGAGGGCCGAGGAGGAGGAGGAGGAGAAGGAGGAGGAGGAGGAGGAGGAGGAGGAGGAGGAGAAGAAGAAGAAAATGGCGAGCCTGGAAGTCGAGAAGGAGAGGGGGGCGGGCCCGCCCGTGACCCCACCGGCGCGCGGCCCGAGCCGTCGCGGGCAGAGAGAGGCGCGGCCCCCCGGGGTCCGGCCGAGGCGGGCGCGGGGGCGGCGGCGCTCCAGAAGCGGCCGGCGCCTGGGGAGGAGCGGGGATCGGGAGTCGAGTGGAGGAGGGAGTAGGGAAGAGAGGGGAGGAGACTGGGCGAGGAGGAGGAGGGAGGAGGGAGGAGGAGGAGGAGGAGGAGGAGGAGGAGGAGGAGGAGGAGGAGAAGGCGGAGGAGGAGGAGGAAGGAGAGGGGACAGAGAGATGAGGGCGGAGAGAGGAGGGAGGGAGGAGCGAGGGGGAGGGAGGAGAGTGGAGGAGGAGGGAGGGGTATGAGGAGGAGGATGGATGAGCTATGAGGAGGATGGGGAGGGAGGAGGAGCCCCCCGTCACACTTTGGCCTCCTCTTGTTGACGAAGATAGCACGCCGCCTGCAGGCCTGCGTGGGCGCACCACTGGGCCCCCGGGTCGTCCACAGAGACGACTCGGGGTGCACGAGCCCAGTCCCAGGGAAGGGGTCGAGCCCCAATGTGCGTGTGTACATGCTGGCCACCCGATCCCAACCTGTAATGGGGGGTCCCCCTAGTGGGATTTTGGGTAAAAAACAAAAAATGCTTCAAAAGGACACCCCAGAGGGCCAAACATAATCCAAGCCTCGTCCCCAGACTATCTTTTTGACTATTCTTGAATCTTCCCCCAAGTAGGCAGCTGGGGGGTCGCGCCTCGTCGAAGAGGCCCACGGCGCCCGCCTCCTCCACCTCCTCCACCTCCTCCTCCTCCTCCTTCTCCTCCTCCTCCAACCCTCCCAACACCAGTTCCGACAGCACGTGCCACCGCCCCCCCCCCAGCGGATCCAAGGGGAGTGTGATTATTGCCCCATCCAGAACGAAGCTTTCCGAGCGGGGCGCGGCCAACGAAAGTGGCCAACCTCGGACCCCCCCTCATAGAGGCCTCCTAGATGGGGTCGGAGTAGATGGGGTCGGAGGGCCGCGCCGCATCGGCGATACATCGGCGACGCATCGGCGATGCATCGGGGATGCATCGGCGATGCACTGGCGACGCATCGGCGACGTCGGCGATGCCTCGGCGCCGTCCGCGTGAGGCACATCGGGCTCCACATCGAGCCGCCTCGGCGATGCCTCGGCGGTGCGGCGCAATCCTCCGACCCCGTCTGCTCCGACCCCATCTATGACTACCTACCAGACCACCCCAACCCAACCCGAAGACCCGAATTTCGGGTTGGGGGGGGTAAGGGTTCCACACGTGTTTTTTCGATGTTTCCCGACCCCCCCCCCCACGGGAAATCGAGGGTAAATCTGAGCCTTCGGGTTGGGTTGGGGTGGTTTGGTGGGTGGTGAATCTAGGAAGCCTGGACCTCACCAAATCGGCCCCAGCCCGGGCCTCTTCCGGGGAGCGTCCCGGCCGGAAGGTCCTGGGCGGATCCCGCCGTGGCGCCGAGGACCCCCCCGGAGGCCCCAAGCGGTCGAGACGACGAGGGCTGGGAGGGGGACGAGGAGGAGGAGGAGGAGGAGGACAGGAAGAAACCCAGGATGCATCAACGATGCTGCAATGCACCCTCCCGTCCCAAGCCCCTTCATCGTGAATCCGAGCCGTCCTGTTCACTACGATTCATTGCAGACTCTTTGTCCCCCCCCCCCTGGCCCTCTCCCATGCTATCGCCCCGAGGAGTGAACCCTCTTCGTCGCTGCGAAGGCATTCGCACAGTCGCACCTGGTAGTAATCACGCTTACTTCTCACTGCGTGGCTCTCATTTGTGCCGGCTGTACGCGTAGTAGTGTACACCCTGCGAAATGCTTAAGAAATCATGGGTTAAGAAATTCATAGTCTCAGAAATTGAATAAAAACCCAGAACTTCTATCAACATCTTGGGATTTACATGGAAAAGTTAAGAATAATCGAGACTTTGGCCGAAAACTCACGTTTTCTTAAGCGTCGCCTGAGGTGTATGTTCCTTCGACCTGTGCGCCAGTCTACCCTGCGCCCAAGAGGGGCGTTCTTCGTCCCTGCCCCTCTGCATGGCTCTTCTGCCTGCTACCCTTGCATTCCCGTTTCCTTTTACTGCTGA